ATATATTCAAAGTGTTAAGAGAAAAACAATGTCAACCAAAAATACTATACCTAGCAAGATTATCCTTCATGTGGGAAGAAAAGACAAAAAACATAAAACATTCTCAGATAAACAAAACGCGAAAGAATTTACCAACACCAGACCAGCTCTCCAAGAAGTTCTGAAGGGAGTACTATACCAGGAAAACTAGTCAGACACAGAAATAAGAGTACCAAAAAACAAACAAACAAACAACAACAACAAAAAAAGAAAATGGCCAACTTAATGGTAGAGATAACCCTGGAAAGATAAATACTAATGATGAATGTTAACTTCCAGAATTTAAATGGAAAGATCAGACCACAGTAACACTGCAAATTCAACAGAAGAGAGACATTGATTACATGAGACTGAATTGGTGAAATAGAATTTTATGACTTTTTACTGATTTTCTTCTATGCTTTGTTCCCCAGATTTAAGGATTTTTGTCCTCTGTTGAACTGTTCATCTACCTACTGTATGAACCGAATCCTAACCATTTTCCTGGCTTTAAGCCTTAAGCAAACTTCTCTTCACATTTTTTTATTTTGATCTTTTAAAACTCAAACTTTTCTTGAAATTAAAAAATGCATTAAAAAATACCTATTTAATGACAGCAGTAAGCTATATAGCCCCAGCTAGGTGCTACTTTATAGTATGTTCATTCTACTCACTGAGGTTTATGGCTGAAGTCAGACATGTGTTCACGGATATGTGTATGTCAGCTGCGCTTGCTACTGAAAGTATTTAGATTACTTAAGATCTTTAGTGAAGCAATAAAATGTAGGGGTGGGGGGAAGAAAGGCATGGAAAACAACTGTAGATACCAGAGACAGTGTGGGAGCAAGCTGGGAAATGGCAGAGAGGGTGAGGGGTAGAAAATCGAAAAGGAGGTAAAAAACAAAATATAAGAAACAAAAAATGGAAAATTATTTGCTGACAATAACACATAAAATATCCTTAATTGAGCCAATATACAGTGTATTCTGGATGAAAAATCTCATTTTGTATACTGTAATGATGTACAATGAATGAATGTAAATATGTAAATTTTAAAAACAAGAATAAGCATGAGATACTGTCAATTAAAAAGGTATGATATTTAAGTTTAGACTAAAAATAATCTCATTGGAGGCAACAGTTTTAGAAAAATAAAATTGGTTATCTGTTCATTCTTCATGTTAAGCTAATTATTCTATTTTCTCTTCTTTTGTGTATACATTACACATGGGGGGGAAAATTAAATTTTTTTTAAAGTAGTCTATGCTCATCGACTCCTTTTCACTCCTGCAATTTGGAATGACTTCTAGCATCAAATCCATTGGAAGCTTTTCAGTCTTTACCTTATTTGCCCTATGCAAGTCACCTAGACCTGCTCTAGACCAGGGGTTGCAACCCCTGGGCCACAGTCTGTGGCCTGTTAGGAACTGGGCTGCACAACAGAAGGTGAGTAGAGGGCAAGTGAGCAGAGCTTCATCTGTATTTACAGTCGCTCCCCACTGCTCATATTACTGCTTAAAGTCTGCCTCCTGTCAGATGAGTGGTGACACTGGATTCTCATAGGTGACCCCAGATGAGGCCATCTAGTTGCAGGAAAACAAGCTCAAGGCTCCCACTGATTCTGCATTACACTGAATTGTATAATAATTTAATTATAAATTGCAAAGTAATCATAATACAAATAAAGTGCATAAGTAAAATGTAATGTGCTTAAATCATCCCAAAAATAGCCCCCATCCTTGGGTCCATGGAAGAACTGTCTTCCACAAAACTAGTCCCTGGTGACCAAAAGGTTAGGAATTTCTGCTCTAGACCACTCCCTGCTTCTTGCCTTCCTCTCTTCTACTGTTTGTTACACTCTTCCCCAGTTGCTCTTTTCTGCTTCCTAACCTCTTCAGTCTCTTTTGTGGGCTTTTCTCCCATTTCTTCTCAAACATGACCCCTGTCCCCAACACTACATACACCCACACCCCTTAAACGATGTTGCTTCTAAAGATTCTCATGTTCAATTTTTTTTCTTTTTCATTTCTAGTCATTCCTCCTACTGGTCCTCCTATAACTTCAGCTACTTATCTATATGTAAATGTCTAGGTCCAGCCCTGATCTCTCTGAACTCCTGACTCAAATGCATCCCACCCAAATATTCCAAAGGAACGTGAACCAATATTCAAAGGTGAACTAATTTATCATTATCTTTTGCCCCAATGAAAACCTGCTCTTTCTTATCCTAATTAATGATTTCACTATTCTCTTAGTCATCCCAGCCAGAAAACTAGGAATTACTTGACCTATGGTTCAAATATCTAGGTCCCAACATCTCAACTCCTATTTTACCTCTTAAACAGTTCTCAAATCCATTTCTTTCTGTAAGTCCAACTGCTTAGTCAAATTCTCTTCATTTGCCTACTGCACATTTTCCCCCTACAGCTGGTTTTCCTACAACTAATCTTTCCTCTCCTAGGTGCATTCTCTACACTGGAGCTAGAGTTATCATTCTATAATATAAACTCCATGACACCAGTACTATATATAAAATCTGTCAATTGCTACCCCATGTTAAGAATAATCCTAAACTCTGATCATGGTACCAAGTATATAAAATCTGGCTACTCCCACCACACTGCAAGTATTCTGGGGCCCAGTCAGTCCTTCGGAACTACCTAGGGTTCTCCAAATACAAAGTACTCATTGTAGCCTTTGTTCATGTTGTGCCATTTGCCTAGAATGACTTCCCTCATTTTCTCTCTCTAATGAAAGCTTATTCAACTTTCTTAACACAAGTCAAAAGTCACATCATACTGAAGACCTCCCCTTGACATCCTTAGACAGGATCTTTCTACTAAATGTTGGGGAGAATGACATCAGGGGTTGAGATTATGACTTATAACTTAGACCCACCTGCATTAAAATCTCAGATTCACACTTTACCAGGTTTGTTTCTGGGCAAGGTCTCAAATCCTGTTTGCTCGACTCTAAATAACAGCAACTGCTTCACATGATTGTCATGAGGATTAAATCGAGAAATGAGAATATTCTGCACGATGTTTCACATAAAATATTCAATAAATGTTACTATTACATGATTTATTCCCACTCCAAACTTGCTATGGTTTGTGACACACACAACCCTCCCCCCACATCATGTGTTCAGATTTATCTAAAACAGTATTAAGAAATATAATACCTTTGCAGTGTCAAAAGGTGGTTTTGGGGGAAATGAAGTGATTAGAGTGAGGCCCCTATGCCTGACTCCTTGTGGGTTTATAAGAAGAGAGAATGAGACCAGGAGAGGTACCTACAACACAAGACTACTCTCTCCTGATCTCTGTCATGTTGGGATACAGCCAGAAGACTCTGGCCAGAGGTAGCCCCTGGATCTCTAAACCATGACCTGAATAAACTTCTATCCTATAAAATACCCAGCTTCTGGCATTCTCTCTCATTAGCAATGGCATAGACTAAAACAGGGTTCCTGTAGCATTCTGCACCTAATCTCTATCATACTACTGAGACGACAATGACTATTTGCCCAATCAGAACACTACTATCTTCTATTCACCTCTTTATTCCCACTACCTGGCACGATACCTGGTGAATAATAGGTTCTTCACACGTTTTGTTGTTTTGTTGTTGCTATTGTTTTGTTTTGTTTTGTTTGTTTGTTTTTTGCCATAGGGTGTATGTGCTCACCAGAGAGAGGGAGAGAGAAGCAAAGTGAGAAATCACCCCTTCTCTCCCCCTCAACTCTCCCAGAGTGGCCACATACAATCACTTCTCCTTCATTCTCCTCTAGGGATTTTCAGCACACACACTCCCCACATGTGTTTCAAGCCACCAGGTTCAGGGCTCGAACTGAGATTAGCCATCTGGAGTCCCGCACCTTAACCATCAAGCCTTCTGGTAGCCCCTCTTCACAGATTTTTTAATAAAATACTTTGAATCCGCCTACTATGTAACACAAGATCTCAGTTTTTTCCTAATGTTCTTACTAAGTCTACTTTCCTTCTTTTTCTTATACAAAATTCCTATTTTAAGTAAAATTTACAGAGCTCCACTTTAAGAAAAAAACATTTTATAGTATGTACCCTGGCCTTACAATTTGTTTCTAAAAATCACACACATACAAAAATAAACCCAAATACTATCATCAACTAACTTCTAACTTACTCCATAAAACATCAGATTTCTAAGATGGGTATCTACCTACTGAGATCATTTAAATGGCAGCCAAGGCAGGTTTTCTAAATATGTCAGCTTCCTTACCACTGAGCCTTGAGCTAGCTTTTAGAGACTACAGTATATTCCAGAGCATAAAACAAATAAATAAAAAGTACAACATGGTATTTTTTTATTCTGAAAACACACTCCTGAGAAATTCTGAAAAACACTCAAAGAAAATTATTACTGTTCACTGTTCAAAACAAGAAAAAGTCTCTGCTTTGTAAGTTACTAGTAATTTCAAGCTTAACTATTCTTCAAAACAGAATCAAATTATGTGTAGGCAGTGTTCAGGAGACTAAGTGGTGGGGGGAGGCATTCATTTCACAACCTTGAAGCTCAATAAAACGCAAAAAAGCAAAAACACCAGACACCACATCATAGCAATATCTACGGTCTACTTCCACAATTAACCTTAAAACAGGACTGCCCTTTGAGTAATTACCAATCAATGCGTTTAATATGCAAATACCATGAGCTACTTCAGAAAACATGGTTAAATACCTAGATATAAACGTATCAGGGAAAGGAGAAAGGCCTGTTAAAACACGCTTTCTCGGGTTTCGCATCAAATGTGTGACATACATACGGTTCTGCACCGAGAGGGAGCAACCTGGGAGGGTCAGAGGCGCGGAAGGCCCGAGGCCCTGCAGGTGGGGCGGCTGCTCATCCCTGAGACCCTGCAGGGCGGTGGCCCAGCCGGGGTGGGGCTGAGAGCGGCAGCCGAGGCGGGCAAACCACAGGGCGGAAAGCCCAAGTCTCACCTCCACTTCCCTTTCCCTGCGCACAGAGCCCAGTTCCGCGACCACCCAAGAGCCCCCTCACGACAAAGGGAGATTTCTTTCCCTCTCCCGGTCTGCTCAAAGTTTATCGGTCTTTCCCTGCGGTTGGGGCCGCCGGGCTTTGTAGTCCGCGGGCCCGAGCCACGCCGTCACGGTCACGAGCCTGCGGAGCCGCTGGACTACAGTCCCCAGGATGCCTCGGGAGCTAGCGCGCCGCTCCGGGTCTCCCCGCCGCGGCCGGCTCCCGAGGAACCCCGCCACGCACCACCCTGGCGTCCCCGCGGAAGGAGACCGGGCGGGGCTGTCCATCCCCGCAGCCCGCCACCCGCTCTCCCGCTCCGCCCCCC